AATTGTTTTCGATGTATAGATAGCTATCGAGAATTGTAATTTAATATATATTTGTTACTTTAATAAATAATAATTTATTGACTTAAATAAAGTATACTTTAATTGTCTACAACGCTTCATTCCTCTTTCAATTATAATGACATCCCCACACACTTATAGTGTTAGCTATTTTTTATTGAACTAAAAAAATATTTCCTAGAAATAATGTATATGGCAAAACAACGTTTGCTATGTTAGTTAGTAAAATATATACAATTTTTAAATTTTGTGCTTTATTTCACTTTGTTTTTCGCTAAAGGCTTCAAATTTATTTTTAATCTTTTTGTTTTTATTTTTTTTATTTTTCTTTTAATTTGCAAAATAACGTCTCCTGGCAATATAATTGATGTCTATCATTATGAAATCCTACTTAGATATTTATTTATTTTTTACATTCTCACTGAGCACATGAAATATTTGCAATTGTAACAAAAAATTTCTTTGGCGCTCGCTGCAATCAAACTCGGTACGCAAGTACTATAAAATTTTTGCCAAGTACTATTCCATGAGCAACACGATCCTCATTAATATTGCTTAGATAAAATTCATAGTTCATATATTTAAATACTTCTTGTGCAAATAAATCTTTCAATGAACCAATTATTTTATGAAAAGTATCTGTACTTTCATAGGGTGGAAAAGTAAAAAGAAGTATTTTCACGGCTATGGAACAAATTATGAAAATATAAATAAAGACATTGTTCTAACTTTAATCCGTGATTAAGCTCCAAGCCAAACTATCCCCCAAAATTTTTTACATATAAATATATAATTTTATAATTGATAGTCAACTGAGGAGCTTTTTGTGTAGTAGTATGAAAGTTTGTTGTCTTTGATATATATATATATATATATATATATATATATATATATATATATATATATATATATATATATATATTGATAGATATATATGAATATTGCGAATTATTTTTGTGTAAATTAGATCTGACAATCTTTGATATGGTTAGGTTATATATTATGCTAGTCGAACATGTTTTATCCTATGTCCATATCAGTTAATTATTATCAGTTGATAAGCCATTATCAATAGGTGATGATAGGCAAAATTGCAAACAAGTATTAAAATTATGCGGTTAATTCACTTTTTATGCAATAATTGGAAGCAGATCAATTTATATTTATCGATTTATTTACAGATTAGTAATTTCAATAAATACATCAGACTTTTTGCATTCATGATAGATTTCGCTATTTTCTATTTAAATTATACCGCTATATAATAATTGAATGTCAAAGCAGTTATAAATGTACAAACTATTTATAATAATATACTTATTTATTAAAAAGAAAATTTATCACATTTTGCATTTTATAATAGATGTTACCATTTTATAAAAGTACAACGTAGATCGTAGACGTTAAATTAAATATGTATTTTTTAACTCTAAGTTATTTTCTTCATTATTTCACAATCAGCAAGCAAAAAGCAGAAAATAAGCTTATAAAGAGAGAAAAATATAACTCTTCTTATTTATTTCTGTAGTTGGATAGAAAGTAACCCATGCTAACCAGTGTCATTAACTAACTACATAAAAAATTTCATGACAATCCGGTTCAGCAGTTTTTGTGTGGTTCTTAATACACGACAGACAGACAAAAATTCTAAAAATTACTAATTTGGCTTCAGATGTATTGTACACTAGTATAGACTTGTTTTCCCAAGGAATATTTGAAAACAACTTTTTATTTCCACAGATTCAATTATATGTTACCTATAGATTTAATTATCAATTTTTTTAACATTTTAAATTAATAATCAAATCAAGACCTAGAATGAAAAACCATTTTCCATCCGAAATAAATAATTTACATATTAAAGAACGTATCCTTTTATTAATATGTTTACAATAAAGTATAAATAATTAAACAAGAAATTTATATTTTTTTCTTACCTTTAGTAAAAAAAAATATGGTTTTTGTTAATCGTATATATTAAATCTTCTTGATTCCAATTTGAATTTTATATAGATAATCTTAAAAACAAATTTAATTTTAACTGATATTAATGTACCTTTAAGGTTCAAATCATATCACACATCACGAAGTTCCTGGTGGGGTCTGGTACGAGTATATTTTGAGTACATATTGTATTATTGTACAATACATATCGGTTTTTTTATGCTATTAGACAAGAGGCTTTAACGGCACCATTTACTGAATTTTTTAATTAAGTTATTTGATACAAGTTTTATATAGGTTTTTAAAAATATAATAAAAATATAGATATTTAATTTTAGGAACTGTCATAGGATTAGGTTTTAGGAGAAAGAAAAAAATTCTGTGGTGTATTTTATACGAGTACCATAATCCCATAACAGAAACAGCATTCTTCTCAAGTGCTAACCTGACCGTATTACCTTTTTTCTTGATTACGAATAAGCTCTAGTGGTTAAAATATAAGCGATTATAAAGATAGAGTAAGGAGAAATTTTGTTCATGTGTATGTATATACATACATGTTATATGTTTTACATGTTATGAAATTTAACTCTAATACCTTTAAGGTTATGGCAAGCATATCGAAATGGTTGAAAGGTGATTAAACAAAATACTTAATTGTCTAATATTAAAACGATTTAGAATTAACTTTTAAGATTTCTTTCTTATAAATAACACACTACGCATTTACTTCACATTATGCTTTCGAAGTTTGTAATATTTTAAATTGTGTTCCTTCTACTACTAATAATGTACAATTTAATCTAAGGAATAACGGTCAACGTATATTGGAAAACATTTAACTAGAAATTTATCTAAAACTCAGAATTCACAATTTATTTTTTCTATTAAATCATTCAATTTTAATTGTACTTTCAATCTTACCTCTAATATCATACCTATATTAATAGCTGTAACTATCGTAATGACTACTTTAATTAACAATGTATTAATCGATATAAAATGAAAGTATTATCGTCACTTACACAAAAATATTAAAAGCATTAACACGTTATTATGTCCTGTTCATAGGCCGTGATATTGTCGTTCAACAATTTATGTTTCCAACCACATACCTACTGTAGAAAGTTGTTGGTACTATATCCCTAAAATATCATCGTAAAAATTATTTTAAATATCTATATCACGGTACCGATTAGAATTTCTTGTTTTCTTTTCAAAGATCCATTAGCTGATGTGTCTAATTGATTCGCTAAGAGGATTCATTTTTATTCAAAGATTGATTTTTCTTATCTCTATGTTTTAATCGATGACTTACTGTGGAAAGGATCATAGAAGTATGAAGGAAGAAGCTCCGTGACGACTCCTACTAATGTACTTTCTACTTCTAAGGAAAGGATAATTTTGTCGCAGCCCAAAGGGTTATTCAATTGGTTAAATGTACAGTTAGGCCGTTAGTTAAACGCCGACATTTAACTAAACGCCTAGTCTTCTAGTTGCTCTACAACGGCGAGTATAGCATTAAATAATCTAAATTCAGCCCTTTAGATACAACCGAATCAAAAGACCCAAGTTGCTTAAATTTAGTTTTCTTCAGTCACTCGCTAATTATCATTCAATAGCATGCTGGCTGTTAAATAAATGACTCGCCCTTTATTAACCGGTTGATTAAACCATCGTACTGACATTTTTATGTAGGTTTTCCGGTCCACATAATTATGGATTCCACAAGTACATTGATACTGGTGGCTTGTTATAGAATTTAAATAACACAAGGCTATTGTGTTGCTGATAAAGGGATGAATATTTAATTTCTTGGTTGTCAAATGCCAAAGTCATCTGATCATATTTGTATATATTATTTAACACTAGTCCCCAGTGGCATAGCATGGGTTTCCCATTCCATTCTAAAATTTGTTTGCCCGTTGCGGTATATGTATATAGTATATGAAAATGAATAAAGCTTTTAATATTCTTTCTTTAAATAAACAATGTGTATGCATTTATTTTTGTTTTCAATACTTTTAATGCTGTAATTATATTTTACTCACATTGAATTTCGTTTCGTCTCAGGTTAGTCTGAGAGTCATAGGGTCCATGTTTTTACTGTACTTAAAGTATTGAAGGTTCTTACCGTATAACGTGCTCAGCATTTGGTAAAATGCGACTAAGGCCTACGCTCATAGACGGCACGGCATGGCATGGCGTGACAAGGCATACTTCGATATGCCGAATGATTCTGGGGCATCCCGAAGACGCACTCGTGTACCGAGCGCTCGTGCGAGTCACTGAGACTGCCGCCGCAACGGGCTGGATTCAATCTTGTTACAAATATTTAGTAGTCACATTATTCTAGCAAAATGAAGTAACTTATACGTTTCACGTGATGCAGCGGCGTGCCGCAGCATGACGCGGTGTCCTGCGAGACGTTTCCGTTTATTCGTGTTGAAATAAAGGAATGTCAGTGCTAACTTCATTAAAATAAAGTCGAAAATCCTTTGTCAATGAAAAAACTTCCTTGACGCGCCGTGCCGTCTGTGAGCGCAGGCCCTAATGGGATATTGGATATGTGATTATGTAGGCAATAGGCTAGCCACCTATCCCTTACAATTTTCACTATAAACTCATATTTTTTGGATTCTTTGGACTCTCTTTACACCCTTGAGGATTAAAAGCATGACTGTATGTATTTATGAACTATGAATGGAATTATATTTTAATAAAATGTCTTCATTAAAAAGCTATTTTATAGATTTTTTGAAGTTTCTTTCCCAAAATACTGCGCTCTAAAATCTGCCGCCTGCAGCAATGGCCACCTAGCATTCCCCGGTGCTCAACCACTGATACGCCTGCGTATGACGTGATGATGCTTCAAATTGACGCGGGTTCGTATTTCCTATGTATAGTGATTAAATATATAAATATTTTAAATAAATTAGTAAGCTTTAGCCAATGTTAAGTTTGAAATGTAATGGAAATGGTTAGCCTGTCTGGAAGAATTAAATTGTAGGCAGCGGTAGGGAGGACGGTGGTCGACGTCAGAGTTGACTCAGTGGGGTGCAACAGTCCACTTGAGACATCCATGCCAAGTCCAAGGTTGTCACCTGTAATGTAAATAAAAAAATTGTTGAAAAATATATAACGTGAATGCCTGATCATTAAAGCTGCTTTCGCCTACAGACATACCTACCTAAGTTTAATATTAAAACATAGGGGTATAGTAGGTACTCTTTATTTTTTTTATTTAAATTTATTTTTAATAACACACAAAGAGAGTTTTTATTTAAATTTATTTTTAAAAACACACAGGGAAAGGCGAAAGCTCCGGGAGGAAAACCGGCGACGAGGTTCGCCACCCGTCACGTTCTGTCTCCCGGAGGGGGCGAAAAGAGGATTGCGGAGGCCCGTCTAGCTACGCTGAATGTGTGTGGAGCAATGAATGATAAGATAGATGAAATATGCGATATGATGTATGATAGAGGAATAGATGTATTATGTGTAAATGAGACGAAGCGGAGGGATAAAGTCACTACACATGACATATATACCGCGTACTGGTCCGGTGTAGACGAGACCGAGTGAGCGTGCCAGGGAGTCGGTATCATCCTTTCAGAAAGAATGGGTCAATGTGTGAAAGAGTATGAATGTGTAAGCCCGAGACTGCTATGGATACGAATAAAAGTGTGCCTAAAGAAGTTGTTTGTTCTAGGGGTCTACGCCCCAGACATGTCTAAGCCCACTTATATCCGAGAGCAGTTTTGGGAGATGGTAAGGATGGTGTTAATGAAATGTAAGGAAAATGAAAATATTGTTATGTTAGGAGATTTTAATGGAAGGGTTGGGGTGAGGAGGCTTGGCTATGAAAGGGTACTGGGAACGTTTGGTGGTGAAAGTATTAATGAGAATGGTGAAAGCCTCCTCACCGTATGTGTGGAAAGGAATCTTTTTGTGACGAACACTTTCTTTCGTCATAAGAAGATTCACATGTATACGTGGCAAAGAGGTGATGATAGAAGCATGATAGATTTCATAACTGTGGATGTAAGAAGCGCAGTGGTGGATACAAGGGTTTACCGGGTGTCCGATGTAGGGACGGATCACTACCTGGTCTTATGCCGAATTAGGGGTTTATTCAGACGTTGGCGGCATCGGACATCTGTGTCTACCACTGCGTTACAGCGTATAAGAATTGAGAGGTTACAAGATGAAGATGTGAAAGACAAGTACAAATGTAGACTGAGAGAAAATATAAGTGATTTGAATGAGTTGTGTGTGAATGAGTTAGACTTGGAGAATGTGTGGCATAATGTTAAGAAAAGTTTAGTGGATGCAGCTACCGAAGTATATGGTGTTAGTAAGAGAACGAATGAAAGGAAAGACAATACGTTATGGTGGGATGATGAGGTACGTATGGAAGTTGAAGCAAAGAAGAGAGCATGGCTAGATTTACTAGCGACCAAAGCTGGTAATTCTGGCGGTAAGAATGATGAGATTGAAAGAAAAAAGGCAGAGTTTAAACGTCTAAATAAGAGAGTAAAAGAATTAGTTGAAAGGAAAAAGCAAGAAAGAACGGATAAGAATGATAGAAGAATATCGGATAACTTCCACGCAAATATTAAAATGTTCCGGAAACTCGTAAGAAATACCCGGGGACTTTCAAAACAGCCTAGATTGAATGCGATACGAGACGAGAATGGCTGTATTCTAAATGATGAAGTGTTGAGTCTAAAGAGATGGAAGGAATATTTTGAAAGCGTATTTATGAGTGAGGAGACGTGTGAACTAAATGAAATTCCGAAAGAATACGATAGGGATAGGGAGATAAGTATAGATGAAATAATGAAAGCAATGAAAAGCATGAAAGTAGGTAAGGCAGTCGGATATGATAGAGTTTCACTCGAAATGCTAAGGGTTGGAGAGGACGTGGTGGCAGGCCTGCTGTACACTTTGTTTAATTTATGTTGGGAACTAAAGCGGGTACCGAGAGACTGGTGCAAAGCCGTGATAGTCCCAATATATAAGGGAAAAGGGTTACAACAGGACTGTAAAAACTACCGTGGTATCAGCCTTCTTAACATTGTGGGAAAACTGTGTGCTAAGGATGTGCAAGCGGGATTTAGAAAGGGAATGGGGTGTACAGATCAAGTCTTTTCCATGCGCATGATCAAAAAGTTTTTTGTGCGTTCATGGACTTGGAAAAGGCTTATGACAGAGTGGACAGGGATGTGTTATGGCAAACGCTGAACGCATTTAGGTTGAGCGCTGGTTTAATACAGGCATTAAAGTCTCTGTATAGGGACTCGAGTGATTGTGTTAGAATCAACGGGGTCTAGTCGGACTGGTTTGGCATCCATAAAGGTGTCAGACAGGGCTGTGTAGCTTCCCCGTGGCTGTTCAACCTATTTGTGGACAGTTGTTTGGAAAATTTGAAAGTTGAAGAATGCGGGTTAAGAATGAGTGAGTTAACCATCAAATGCCTTTTGTACGCCGAATGAACAGGTCATTAAAAGAAAGGGGAATGAAAGTGAACGCAAGTAAGACGAAAGTGATGGTTTTTGAAAGAGAAGAAAGCAAAACGGTATGTGAGTGTGTATATTTGGGATGTGTATTCAGCAGGGATGGGAGATATGATAAGGATATTGAACGACGAGTGAATGTAGGAAATAAAGTAAATGGGGCTCTACACTCCATTGTGAAAAGTCAGAATGTGTCAAAAAAGGCACGTATGGCAATTCACAATGCTGTATTAGTCCCTACTTTAACATATGGTAGTGAAAGTTGGGTGTGGCAGAAGAAGCACGAGAGTAGAATAAATGGAGTAGAAATGTGGTCGCTAAGGAGTATGTTAGGGCTGAATCTGAGTGACAGGGTGAGAAACTGTGTGATAAAAGAAGAGTGTGGTTTGCAAGATGCAGTGACCTGGATTAAGAAAGGAATGCTTCGGTGGTTTGGTCGTGTAGAAAGAATGAATGCGGAAAGACTGACAAAGCAAATATATGTTGCAGAAGTGAATGGAAGAGTCGGAAAGGAACGTCCTAGGCGGAAGTTTGTCGACCAAATTGGCGATATACTAAAAGTGGGCCAAATTAAGAGTACCCTTAACCGACGAGCATGTATGCGTAGGTATATGGATGTGGAAGAGGCGAGAGAGGTATGTCAGGATCGTGCTAAATGGAAGTCTGTAGTCTCTGCCTACCCCTCTGGGTGACAGGTGTGAGTGTTTATGTATATATTATGTACAAAGAGAGTTAGACATGTGCCATAGTATTCCTAACTTTTGCGCAACTTTTTTTTGTACTTTTTTTTTAAAAACACTAGGATTTTCTCCTGCATCGTGGAGGCAGTTTGCAAACATAATTTGCACAAGACCTAGAACAATTATTTGTAAGCCATACAAATACTTGTTCCGTGCGGGATTCGAACCCGCGACCCCCAGCGCAGTCACTCATTGCTAAGTCACTGCGCCACGGAGCCGTCACGGAGCCGGCAACATAAGCTTGTTTAAAATTCATTCATACATCATTCATTAGAGCACATTTTCAGTCCACTGGTGAATAGAGGCGCCCCCATAGACTGCCTGATAGGGTGCCTGGTATATGCCACAGCGGTCGCGCTTATTTTGAGCTGCTATCGGGAAGATGATGCTGTCTATTTCCTGTTACCTGTTGGATACACGTGTATCATCCAGTAGATGTCGTAAGTGGATATTCTTTACCGAGTAATAGCTGTGTAAGAATTGTTCAAATTACACAAATATTTGTTTATAAACATGACAATATTGTGGCGGGGTTTTTAAGTAATATTGTAATTGGATTGCTAAGTTTTTTCAAATAATACCTATTTTTATTTTGTATATATGGCAGCAAATATTAATATTTAAATTAATGAAGTTATTTATAACTAAGGCACGTGAGGGTAATATGCTCACCTTAAGATTTGTCGCCCTATAAGACCAAAACTAGGAGGATGACAGAGACAAAACACAAATTCGTATACTATAACTATTATATTAAGAGAAAAAATAGCAAAAGAGTTTTGGAAATAGTTTGGACCGGTTCGAAAAATCAAATTAAAAAAAACACACAATACTAAAATCGACAAAAATATTTAATGTAATGTCAACTGTCAAAATGGCGTCGATAAAGCAGAGCCCTTTTGACCCTTTATTATTTAATTGACTGATGAAGAGCTATCATATCAAAAAGCCTTGTTTGCATAGATAGCTGGTATCACAGAGTTATCTATGCAAACAGGGCTGTAGTTTTTAAGTTATAAGAATGTGACCATATTAATCGGATGGCCATATTATCTTCACGTAATACAGTGTTACTTAGAAATAAAAATTGAAGTGGGTGTCTGTAACGTAATATCGAAATAACTGACTTCTATTGAACCGTGTGAGTTATTGGAATGTAACATTAAGTAATGCCATTTTAAAAAAAATTCTCAGTCTGGGCTAATCTGCGGTATGACTGAACTAATTGTATCGTAAAGGGAACAATGCCAGGTGTGATCTGGGCTATATTTTATTCGAAAACACTTTTTTAAAAATAATGGAGTGTTTGGTAAACACCACTTCAGACAAGTCTTAAATCATTATCTTCAATCTAAATAACGCCACATTAATAGATCCCACGCAGATGACGACGCGGCGGGTCGCTAGTTACATATTATATATAATACATATATTGTATTATAATATGTAATATATATCTATATAATTCATACAGTTTTTGTGGTCTAGTCACAAAATCTGTGGGTCTAGTAGACTCGGAATTCATTTACTAATTTGATATCATTTTGTAAGCAGTATTAATTGCAAATAACTCAAGCTATTTTTGACTTGATATCAGCACCGCGTCAAGTGTATCGAGCACTAATAAAATTAAGTGTTTATTATTGTAATAAGTATAACTATTATGTAGGCACACGTAATATCATCATTATTACAGCACTTCTCAAGTCCACTGTTCAAGATAGGCCTCCGCCAAGGAATGCTGAAAAACACGGTCCTCAGCTACCTGCATGTATGGACTTACTGCATGTCTTACAGGCCGTTATTCCATCTAATGGGAGCTACGCCACAGAATAAATAATAGTACTGTTTGTTTTAAGTTTCTTATTGTTTCTTAGAAGATACACTCACATACTCACCTCTCGTACGGTAACGTTACCGGTTAACGGTAACGGTATTAACGGTAACGGTAACGTTAATTTTCTATGCTATAATCTGCAACGACTATATCGTCCCGTGTAATGTGAGAAGCGACGGAGAGAAACAAACCAGGGGATTTTGACAACAACAACCTTGAGATTGACAACTAAAAAAACTGCTCTTGTGGACCCACTGAAACGTGTCAACAATGACAAAATATCCTCCCTCAATCTACAGGGGGGCCTATGTTAAACATTGGACTTTTGTAGGCTGTAACGAGTGTAACCTTTGTATCTATAGTAACTATAGTAGTATCTATAGTACCCGGTTGACCGAGCTTTGCTCGGTATTTTTCGCTCGGTTTTTTTTTAATTCGTGTGTTTTGGAAATTATATTTAGATACAAATTACATACTGATGAAATACGAATAATATTTTTTGATCTTAGCGACATAATAGAAAAAACTGAAGTGGTTATTTGAATAAAACATCATGAGTGCAATTAGTTTAATTTAAATTTTCGTGTTTTTAAAAAATACTAAAAAAAGGGCTCGAAAAGATTTTTTCAAAAAAGAAAAGATCTTGAAAAAGAAAATTAAAAAAAGTCAGTCGGTCTGGGCTCGAACCACGGTATTACGATTTTGTGACCGCCCATTATACCGATTAAACTATGTAACATTAATTGAAAATTTACCTTCTTATTCTAACGATATTGTAGCAGTTTTTCATTGCCTAAAAACACGGACAAAAAGACATTTTCTAAAAATAAATCCTAGCTAGATCTATTTATTGCCCCCCGAAACTCCCTGCACACAAATTTTATGAAAATGGTTTCCGAGATTCCGATTATATATATATATATATATATATATATATATATATATATATATATATATATATACAAGAATTGCTCGTTTATAGGTATAGGATTATTTGCCATAAAACTATCCATTCATCCATCACAGCCTATAGTCCACTGCTGAACATAGGCCTCCCCCATAAATTGCCGCGTAGGGGGGATTTTGCCACAGTTGTCGCGCTTGGCGAGCGGGTTGTCAACCGCAGTTTTTATTATTTTACGTTGTTATCAGGAAGATGGTGCTGTTCACCACCTGTTGATTTCCCTCTGACGCCTCTTACGACCACGGGATGATATGGGATAGTGGATGTTCTTACACTGCCTTGCGCAGTTTCATGATTTTCACGTTTCATGAAACTATATCACTCATAAAATCTACAATGTTGGTTACGGACAGTTTTTAAACATAGCGAAAATGACAAGCGTGAGTGTTTATGTATTATGTAATATGCTGTTAATATTGTTCTAATATACTGTGATGTAAAAATGTACTTTGTGGTCTGATCCCTATTTGTTACCGAGGTTCGTTATTTTAACTGTTGTCAAATAAACACAAATTCCACAATATATTCAAGACACAACAAATCTAAAAGAAAATAAGATGTCGATAATAACAAGAAGATACTATACAATTTCTTTTTAATTTTTAGGGTGGTACAATAATAACTTTGAATATATCTTTCTTATAACTCTTTACATCAATGATGGATGAATGATATACACACGTAGGACAACGTAACAATCTGAATTATTACATTCGTACGGCATCTTCATCTTCTTCACCAGCCCGTAACAGTTCACTGATGAACATACCCTTCTCAAAGAAAATTCGCCATCATCGCCACGCATTCTCGGCATTTTAAGATTGTCATAAGCGAGGTGATTGATTATACTGCCGTCTGTCGGAAGCTACAAGATTTTTCTTGCATATCTGAACGTCGGTCACGAAACGAAATAGGATTTGACGATTTCACCTTCGCCGCGACCACAAGGGAAGTATGAGAAAACTTAGTCAAACTAAAAATATTTTTATTCAAAATTGGCCTTTACAAAATACTTATTGGAAGTCAAAAAGCTACGCCATTGCTTCAACAGTTTTCTAGAGTGGAAGATCTTGTGAGAAGAAGCGGCAAGAAACTCACAAGTAGATTATTTTTCTCCCAAAAGGTACAATTTAGTGTTTTAAAATAACAAGTGGTAAAAATTAAAAAAATTGTACAACCAACTTCAATATAAATGAAATGAGAACATGATCAGTGTATTCGAAATCTATTAAATACACATTATTAAGGGTAACTCAAAAACTACTGGTCAGATCTTGATCTATATATTATATATGGGATCACACGAGAAGCACCAGCTTCCAAAAAAAAAAAAAATGGAATCATCAAAATCGGTTCACCTAGAAGAAAGTTCTGAGGTCGTCCTTTTCTGAAGTCGATTAAAATCTATTAAAAATACTAAAGTCAATAAAATCTAACAATCTAAAAAAATAAATAAATATAAATCTATCAAGCATTATAATCATCTAATATGTAATAACCTTTTTTCATTACAATGCATTTTCGAGGTAAAAAATTATGCAAAGGCAACTTTTAGAAAGGAATTATCAACATAAAAAGCACAAAAATACATCTACCCAAAAATGAGCCGCTAGTTTTTTTGAAGACTGTACTTTAGAATAGCAAGTTTAGAATTATCAAGTGAATTAATGTTATATGGAGATCACTTATTTTATCAAACATCAAGTTTCTAATGTAAATATTATTATTTAGCCAACATGAACTATGAAGCAACAGTTAAGATGTTAATAAATTCTAGGAAGCTCATTATATATTATCATTTAAATAATCATCTAATTTAGTAACCTTTTTTCACTAGAATGCTTTTTCATGCGCCTTGAATTTATGCAAAGGCAACTTGATAATATTGCAATATTATTCAGTATATTACAAGGAATCTTGTTAAAATAGTCATTTACACGAAAAAGAACCGCTAGTTTTGTAGAGCCTGTACTTAAGAACAGAAAGTTAAATTTATGTATTATGTCTAATTAAGGTTATGGAGACCATAACCTCAATTATACGTAATAAATAACGATAACGTAAAGGGTATTTAAATTGTTTCTAATTTAATGTAAAATATTAGCCAATATACGGACTGTGAAGAAACAGTTCAGACATTAATTTGTTTATAAAGGTTTCTGAGTGAGTCCCTTGGTCTGATATTCTATATGATCCGAATCGTTTTTTCAGTAAAATTAAATTTAACAAATATAAACATATATTTTCAATATCGGGTGCCGATCAGCAATAATCCAAAGGATACCATACTATAAAAATAGCAAAATTAAACCAATCTTGCTGTATCAATATAAATTAAGTCCTACTTTTTAACTGGATTCAGAGCGTAACAAGTCTCCACCACAAGGGTTCAATATGAGGTCTCCATTGTAGACGAAAGTCTATTGTTATACCAAAAAAAGAGGAATCTAGTGATTCAAGTGTTTAATTTCTCAACATAATGAGAGTGGTACATTATATTAGGTAAAGAAAATATAATGTATTTCGTTTTGTTAGCATTTAGAAGAAAGTTATTTTTTGTTAACCTAATATTTGAGATAACGCATAATTTATATCATCAAATGAATTTTTATGTGTATTAATTTAAAAAAAAAACTCTAGGCTTTATCAGAAAACAATATAGTTTTACGTAAGTTTTAGGCGAAAAAGGAAGATCTTATCCATTTTAAAAAGAGTTGGTCCTAATGTTGATCCTTGGAGTTGGAGCACACGTACATCTACGCTGTCAATAAACAAGTTTTATTGATAAAAAATTGAAATTGAAAATTGTAGGAACAAGGTTATAATGATCTCAAGGGATACATGAATGAAACTAACCACTGGGAATGAGGTAACCATTACTTTGTCGGTTCTATTAAAATTCATTTAAAAATTATACAAAACTAATGTAAAGTAATATATGTTTATTGTTAGAAAAAATAATCCCGCTGGGTTTCTTGCTAATTCTTCCTAGAACAGAGGTATTTTCTGAACCAGTGGTAAATAAAAAATGACTTTCAATAAGTATTATGTAATAATCTATATTGAATAAAATCATTCTATTCTATTCATTCATAATTAAGAGTGCACCAGAGGACTCAGTTAAATAAAATAAGCTATAATATGAATAACCTCTTAGGACCTTACGTGGCATTGTATAGTGCAGGCCTTTGTTCAACAGAGGTATTTTGTTTGGCTGTGATGATGATGATGATGATGATTACGAAATAACATTTGTAAAAGAATACATATTATGTATAGAATATTACGCAGCTAGTCATAAGTCTCGATCATATGGTCGTGTCGCTTAGTTTGTTTAGACGCGATGTGGGTTTTTCACGTGGTCAAAATAAAGTCAAAGAGATGATTGTGAGAGTTTTATCCGGTGAAATAGGCTTTCTAATGATACAAATGCTTTTCTAACCGACTTCAAAAAAGGAAGCTTTTTTAACAGGTATACGTTTAGCAATAATTCTGTATCACATTATCCCATTCAATGTTTACTACGGGCTTTCTTCTGTGGGCTTTTTGTGGATTGAATAAGAAGGAACAGATCGGTAAATGGGAGCATTTAGGTATTAGGTTAAGGAGAGATTCACCTGGTGCATGGAGTACACGGCCAACACGACGAGCACGTGCATTATGTTATGCGAGTTAAGGCAGCGGTCCACGGCGCCTGGAAACCACTTCTCCGGTATATGCATTGCGCCGATAATACCACCCCCTAGCGACACCGCATCCTGGAAAAATGTTAACTGTTAATTATTTTGATTCAGATCAGGCTGATTTGCATCATTTTTTTGTAGTTCGAGTAACTAAAAATAGGTTATATTTTATCTGAAAAATAAGAACGACTTTTTGTGAAACCAAAACAGTGTTAAAATGAATAGGTTTGATGATTATCTCATAAACGTTTTACAGAAAAAAGGTCACTCTGCAAAATCGTCTTTTGACATTTTTTGCCCTAACACTATTTTACAACAAAACTATTAGTATTCAAAAATCAGGCCATAAGACCTTTTTATATTTGCCTACATTGCCTATTTTTTCGAGATTACAGCAAAGCAATGAGTTTAAAATGGTTTTTCAATAATTTAAATGACTACTTGCCCAAAGACCACCATTAAGAACTGGGTTTTTGTGTAAGTTCTACGTGAAGTCGCGGGTAAAAGCTAGTTTAAAATATAGCTAATACTTTTAACCAATTAGTATCAGTCATAAAAAATGTAGTAACGTAATTAAACTTGTATGTATTCGCAATCCGTTTAAAAATAAACAATGGCCAATATCGTGTATATATAAATTCCTGTTTTAAGAATTCATTTTATTTCTAACCAAAATCCGTTGAATTGACCTTAAAAAGGGGTTGAATATATAGAAAGTATTATCATTAACGAAAACATGACTTTACCTGTTGTGTCGCTAATGTCCAAAGTTACCGGTATTCTAACCTTGTTAACGTTTGGCAATGTGCCAATTTTCTAGTTTAACTCACACTAAATCCTCGGGGATCATGAGGCGTGAAATTTGTTTAACTCAGACAAATTAATGTAACGTGAAATATACTAAATTTTGAATACGGAGATATAAAAACCAGAGTGTACACTGTCATTGCACAACAAGCGTTCCATGTCATCATAGCTCACGTTTGTAACAATTTTTCACGTTTTTGTGAGAGGTTGCTTGTTTTTTCTTTATAATCATAATAATTATTTATTTTAAATCCACATACAGTCCAAAATTATGTTAGTCCTTAGCCTTAGCTTAGCTAGTTAAAGTTAGTTAAAGTTACAGCCTATATAAGTCCCACTGCTTGGCACAGGCCTTTCCTCATTTCTGAGAGGGTTTTAGGGCAAGTAACTTCATATATCTTCGAAATATTTTTTTATTTTATCTCAGACATGCAAGTTTCATTACGATGTTTTTCTTCACCGCCAAGCACGTGGTAAATCAGCACTTAAAATTGCAATTAATGATTTCATTGGTGCCGGCGGGGATCAAACCCGGGTTGTTCGCATACTGTGAAATTTACAACGAGCACAAACCATCTGGGCTACCACGGCTCTTAGCTTTTTTTGGCACAAATTACACAAAAAAATAAGTCACAGTCATTTTACTGCCAATAGTAACGCAATTCTGAATGTTCCTCCAATGTATTAATGTTATACATCAATACAATCAAGATTCATGACTTTTGTCTCGGCTTTTTATATTAGTACGGGGGAAAGCACTCTTAAAGCAACTTTTTCAATAGTAATATTAATATTTTCATAATATTAATAAAAAACCGGCCAAGAGCGTGTCGGGCCACGCTCAGTGTAGGGTTCCATAGTTTCCCGTCCGTCACAATAAGTGTTCCCACTTATGAGTTTAAAGGTGGGTATCCATTATGTTCGCGCTCCAGCAGCGCTCCGCGCTCCTGCAACTGCTCCCGGTAGTGGGTACGTGCGCGAACATGGAGCGTGCAACATTACACGCTCCGCGGCAGGCGCTCCGACTTTCCATCCAAGTTCAAAATGATTTTCCTAGAAAGTCCTTATAAAGTTCTACTTTTCAGATTTTTTTCATATTTTCTAAACTTATGGTTCAAAATTTAGAGGGGGGGGGGGACGCATTGTTTTTTTACTTTTGGAGCGATTATTTCCGAAATTATTGACATTATCAAAAATGATCTTAGTAAACCCCTATTCATTTTTAAATACCTTTTTAACAATATATCACACGTTAGGGTTGAAATTAAAAAAAAAAATCACTTCCCACTTTACATATAGGGGGCTACCCTAATAAAACATTTTTTTTTCAATTTTTATTTTACCACTTTGTCGGCGTGATTGATACACATATTGGTACCAAATTTCACCTTTCTAGTGCTAACGGTCACAGAGATTAAGCGAGGACGGACAGACGGACAGACAGACATGGCGAAACTATAAGGGTTCCTAGTTGACTACGGAACCCTAATAAAAAAACAGAACAAAGTAATGGATTCCACATTTTTGAAATAGTGTTTCGAAGATCTTTTAATTGACACGATGATCTCTTCTGATCTCTCTGAAAAAAAAACGAATTCCTATTTCTGAACTTCATGCTTTTATCTTTTTAACTATAAATTAGTCTAACAACAAGTCTAACAAGTCTAACACGCCGAATACCGAATATTCTGCATCATCAGGCTTACTGGTCGAATAGCCAAATATTAGGCAAACGTATTCAGCCGAGAAGTAAGTAGTGCTTAGAGCGTCTTTTCTCTGAATCTGGAATAATTTACGAGAAGAAAAGGAGTAAACTGCATAAATTACGATAGTTCAAGTGCATAGACATTTATCTGATATTTTTTTAACTTTTATTATGTGGAAGTTGATTATTATTTTAATGATTATAAGAAAATACATTATTATGAAATAAATATTTTCATTTCACCAATTATCTGACTATAATAAAACATCTTACTTAAATATTTGGCGTTTGGCCGAATAGTATTTAGATATTCGGTGTTCGACCTTAGAAAAGTAGCTAAATAGGCCGAATACCGAATAATCGCCGAATATTCGTTCCAAGTCTACTATAAATATTTTAATCGTTTATGTCAAACATATTCTTTTGTAGTATTTTCTGGGGGAGACCTACGTGCAGTAGTGGACTTCTGATGGATGATGATTACGATGATGATATCAGTCTCTGGGAAAAACATCTGTTTGATTGATTATGTAATGTGAAATGAATCGTAAATGTAAAATTGGCTCGGAATTTTAACTTGTTTACATAGGTTGATGTTTAATATGAAAGGCTTAAATAACGCCTAAACAAATATTTATGAAATAATAAATGCCTAACTCCTACCGAATCATATGCTTACTTGAGGTCGAAAAAGTTAATTTACTATTTGTAGTTTGCAACAACTTCTATGTTTGTTTTTAACAACCCATCTTTATATCATAAAAGTTATATCGGGCACTGGTCCGTATATAAACGTACTCTTGTTGCATTTAAATAAATCTTGCACATTTAATAGCTTTCGACTATTGGGAACTTGTATAGCCACTATTTGAAACTATGTCAAGCGTGCAGATGGTGCATTATACTTTTATATGCACAGAGGGCTATGCTCGGGGGTTTCTCTGAGTAATAAACTCAGAAATGAGGATATCCGCAGTCGAACCAGAGTACCGACATAGCCCAATGGATTAGTAAGCTGAACTAGCAATAGTCGGCCATATAGCTTGAAGAACTGATAACCGATGGAGAAAAAAGGTTCTCGAGTGGCAGCCTCGTACCGGTAGGCGTAGTGTAGGGCGACCCCCTACTAGATGGAGTAACGACCTGGTGAAACATGCAGGAAGTCGATGGATGCAGGTGGCTCAGGACCGTGTTTTGTAGCATTACTTGGGGGAGGCCTATGTTCAGCAGTGGACTTGTGAAAGGCTGTAATGATGATGATAATGATGATGATATACAAGTATATTTTTCTGTACCTCTTGTTTGGTAATCTATGATGGGGGAGGCCTATGTTCAGCAGTGAACTTTTGATAAGCTGTAATCAATAAAAACTCTTAATAATTTAAACTACATAGATATTCTAAATTATATAGATCAGACAGGGGTGAAGTCGTGAATATAATTAATGACAACCTGCACGCGAAACATCTTGCTTATTGATGGGTGAGACTTTGGCAAACAACTGACAAAGAAAAATACATTTAAAGCTGAACTCAAATTACTGGGCTGGTGATGAAATACAGTATTAAAAGTGTAAGGGTATCGGTTGTGACAATTTCTCAATTGTATCTGAACATATTTCACAGTGGTATGCACAGCTGATACTGGACGAGTATTCGTGTGACAATAGATATAGGCACACATACTCATCCGTTGCGCGTAGATATCGGTTTGTAATAACATACGCGATAAAGTCATTAAAAAAAATATTATCAAGAAATAAGAGTTACTAGGGAATTTTTTAATGAAGAACAAGTGAGTGAACAAGAAATGTGGAGGACAGTAATGCACAAATGCTTGTAATATTTCCGATAACTCATATTGACATTTACATATATCTGAAGTAAGCATTTGGGAGGTTAAGAGTCATCTTAATATGTAGGATAAAAATAGATATTGTGCTTGTGTAATTAAACATCTATTTCAACTGTGTAACACTGCTGGCTATAAGTATTTACGAAAATGCGAAATTTTTTTTTACAATTCTAAGGCAGCGCTTAACTATGATCCTTATGGTAAGTGGTGATGCAGCCGTAGATGGTGAAACGCAGTGATTTAACAAAAGTCTATTTTACTCTTGCCTTGAAGACATTTTACCCCATTTCAATCGGATGGAAAGACAGATGGTGAAAACGTATACCACTAAATTGCTGTACGCATAACGAGCGATGAAGCAAACCGTTGAATTCGAATGCGTGGTAAGTTAAACACGGAAGGGTGGAGATTGGCAGAGCGTCGGTTGTCCGATGATAGAAGCAAGAAGGAGGATTTAAGTTATGCTATTCCTGCACACACTCTCTAAAATGCATCTTGTAGTAAATTGAAAGGCTGGCTACTTTTCGTCTGCGTACGAGACTGGTGAGATTGGTTTTAATCAGACTCGGGTCACAAATAAGCGTTTTAGCACACCTTTCTATAAAGTCCAAAGTACACACTTACACACGCCTACTTTGAAATAAAAATATTAGTGATGTACTATTTAAACGCAAAATATGAAAAAAAAAATAATAGTGTTGGTGATAGC